ATGGCAACACTCACACTCATGCAAGGATGCCAAAGCGTAAACACTTACAGTGTGCTCCAAGCCAAAACAAAAGCTAATTAGAAATCAATGAATGATTCTAACTATGTGAAATGCCTAATGCAACACATGCAAAAATGCAACTAAATAGGCTCGGCTATCTAAGATGGCATATGAATGCAACACTTGATAACATGCTGTGAAACACGTATTCAAGTAAGTGTATTGAAATACAATGCAGTTTGAATGATACGCTGAGCCCGGTGCATGCAAGACAAATGAATGATGCACACATGCAAAGCATAAGGTATGCTAATTGAAATATGCCCTAAAACTAACCATCAAAAGCGATAAGTAAAAGGGAGAAAGAAAATGGGGTTGGAAGACATGCACAGACACACACACCCTTATTACAACATTTGCCCTCTCGACGGAGGGTCCGAATAATAAGCTAAGCTATTCTAAGCTAAGCTAGCAACTAATCTAATTATCTAATTAGACTAAGTATTACACAACCAAACCAAATAATAAGCAATCTACTTACTAATTATTACATCATTTAACGAATTAACAAATTAATTAATTAATTACAAATTCACTGCTAACTAACAAGTAAGCATAAAACTAAGCTGCTCCAGTTTTGTTTGAAGAAGAAGAGGATGTACGCTCGGTTGCCGCCTCGAAAAGCTCTCTGGTTGCTTTCTTGAGGCTCTGTTTGCAGGGTGTCCTTGAGAACTTGCTGCTGGATCTTACCAAATCAAGGCTGGGGAGTTCACCAGTGGCCTGCCGGCCATAAGGGGCTACTGCCGGCCACCTGCCGGCCAACAATGGCAGGGTGCAAGCCATCAATGTGGCATTGCCAGCCACTAGTGTGTTGTGACACCATTCTGTAACAGAGCACAAAAACAGAGGAAATGGAGGGTCTCCCAAGGGTATGTACATACTATGCCACTCCATATCACCTCAAAACATCAAAGGAGAGGCATCATTGGATCCAAGACCATCAATCAAGCATCTCAATGCATGATGACCAAAGATCCAATCTTGCACAAATTCAATAAATGAAATGCAAACAAGACCCTAAGACCACAGCCTTATCATTAGAGGATCAAAGGCAATGGAGACAATAGGGATTGGCTTACTTTCATCACTTTGAGTATGAAGTGGGCCAATCCCCCTTGTGTTCAACATAACGTCCCGTTGAACATGATGCAATGCAAAATGCAACATGCTCATCTATCAATGCTAAGGTGTCATGCACAAGACTCTATCATGGAAGCAATGCATGCATGACATATTATGGAGCCAAGAGCACTAAAGCAAGTAAAGAGCATCATACAAGAGGCATGCAATACATAGCCTAAACAACCACACTAGCTCTAGACAGAGCTCAAATATGCCGAATCAGAGGCTACAACATGCTGAAATTGAAGCTCAAATGACTAGACAAACATGCATACATGTTAGGCCACAAACAAGGCATAATACACAACCCTCAAAATCTATGAAGAAGTGAAGTATATGAGAGTGTGACTACACTATATGCACTGAAATTACATGCCAAATGGTGCCATACCATGCAAACATCACATGCATAACATGTTAAAGGCCCCAAAACTCAAAGCTAGTCAAGGCCTTTTACACTACAACCATACTAAGCAATACTCAAATGACTTTAACCACTCAAAATAGACATAAGGCAGGTCGAAACAGTAGCAAAAACATGTTAGACTCGCAGCACAGATGGCAAGAAAAATATGCTCATTTGATGGCTCACAAACAAGGCATAAGGGCACAACTCTTAAACACAATGAAAGGGTGATAAACATGAGAGTATGACAGAAGTTTATGCTCTGAAATTACATATCAAATGATGCCATACCACATAAACATCACAAATATAGCATGCTAAGGGCCTCAAAACTCAAGACTGGTGAAGCCAACTATGCCATAGCTATACAAAGCTAACCATGTATGACCAAGACCACTTAAAACAAACCTCAAGCATGTTAAATTAGTGGCAAAAATGTGCTCGAGCAAAGCTAATACATGCTAGAATGATGAACTAAAGCATGAAGCATGTTAGGCCAACAAGTAGGATTACACTACAAGTATAAGATGCAAGCAACCAATGACCAAACCAACCTAAAACAAAGTTATAGTAGGTCTGAAAGGTCACAAAAATATGCCTGAACAAAGCCACAAAAAAGAAGAAACACATGCTCAAGTATGAGGCCAACAAGGCAAGCAAGCAAGACAAGAGGAGAGGGGACCACCCCCTCCCATTTTGGACCTCAAAACCACCTTTCCACCACTGAAATTCTTCTGAATTTCAGTGGTAGAAAGGCCATGCAAAGGCTATTACAAAAGCTTCAAAGGATGACTCAAAAGCTTAACAAATAAGGCATACAAGGGGGTGAAACACCCCCAACCCCCACAAGGCCTCAAACAACCATTTTTAACATTTAAAAATAAATCTTTTTGCAGTTGACAACTAGGCCAAAAGAAGCATGCAAAGATGGCTAAACACTTAAGCAAAACAAAGCTTAAAGAGGGTAACTACTCACCCTTGAAGAACGACAGCAAAACAGGCACTTCTGAGCCAAAAACCAACCTTTGATAGCTCAAATACAACCTCTAAGAGCCTCAGCAACAAGATAGAGGTGTTTCTCTAAGAGGGTTGGGTACAAAAGTGCAAAGAAAATACACTTCTAAGCACAATAGAGAGAGAGAGTGAGTGAAATCTAGAGAGAGAGAGATATATTTTTTTTTGCCCTAAAGTTTCTGAACCCTTGAGAAGGGGGAGGCACCTCCCCTTATATAGGCAAAGCAAGGACAAGCTTGCTTGACAAGTTTAAAGCTTGTCCTCCATCCCTTCATACAAGATGGCTCAATGAGCCACAGCTGGCTCAAAATATCTAACAAAATATCTGCTAAAACATGGTGGCCGGCTGGCCATCAGTGGTGGCTGGAAGTGCCTCATTGATGGCCGGCAGGCCTCATCAATGGCCGGCAGGAACAAATTGATGGCCAGCAGTCCTCTCTGATGGCCGGCAGGCCACCTAGAATACCACAAAGAAAAGACCAACCCATGGTCAAAAAATAAGACAGAATGGAAATAGGGTTTGGAAGGATCAAACCTGGAGCATTCCGTCGCGAAAGTCGAACACTCGACGAGCAATCAACCTTGTTGCTGCAAATACCTGCAAACACATCCAAGTCTTGAGGACGGTCAAAAATGGGGTGTCTATACCTGGCATTCGGGTGTCTAGTCAAATGCCCTGCCTTGCTGAAGTGTGTGAAAGAATTGTCGGCAGCGATATGTGGATCGGCTAATAAACCCGTTAAGTGCAGCGGCCATTCCCATCAGCTTCTAAACCTGTTTCACTGAGTGAGAGGAGCCAAGATCTAGAATCACCGTTATTTGCTTCAGGTCAGCTTTGATTCCGCGATTGTTAACGATTTAGCCAAGGAATTTGTCAGATCCAATGCGGAATACACACTTTGAGGCATTCAGCTTCGTTTTGTACTTTTGAAGGATGCCAAATGTCTCTGCCAAATCGGCTAGATAAGAGTGCTTTTCCTTGGATTTGACCACCATATCGTCGATGTATACTTCCATAGTACGGCCGAGTTGTTCCTTGAGCATTGTAGTCACTAGTCTCTGATAAGTTGCCCCCGTATTCTTGAGCCTAGAAGGCATGACCTTGTAGCAATAGGTCCCTCTTGGGGTGAGGAAAGCGGTTTTCTCTTGATCCTTTGGATGCATGGCAATTTGATGATAGCCCCTATAGGCGTCCAAGAAGCTCATGCGTGGATGATTTGTCGTCGCGTCTACAAGTTGGTTTGTTCTGGGCAAGGGAAAACAGTCTTTGGGACAAGCCTTGTTTTAAGTTCGTGAAATCCACACAGACACGCCAAGAGCCATTCTTCTTCTTGACGACTGTAGTATTGGACAACCATATAGGATAGGTTACTTCTCGAATTGCCTCGGTGTCAAGTAACCGATCTACTTCTTCAACAACAGCCTTAGTATGCTTCGTGGCTGACCGCCGACTTCTCTGAATAATTGGCTTACATTTCGAATCAACGTGTAAGTGGTGTTAGGTCACTGATGGATCCACTCCTGGCATCTCATATAGGGACCATGCAAATACATCAATATTGTCGAGTAAAAAAGATACCAACTCGTGCCTTTCAACTGTATCCAAGGAAGCACCGATCATGAAGAACTGCTCAGGACACTTGTCTGTGTCAACCCAATGCAGGGCTTCAGGTGCCTTTTCGCTTGGAACCCTTTAAACGTCTTCGAGGCTCTCCCTATCCGGTATCTCAATGGAATGCACTTCCACCTCCCTTGGTCCCTTCGCAGCCAGAAGATAGCATGCCTGCGCCGATTTTTGAGAGCCGCGAATTTGTTCGATTCTGTATTCAGTCGGAAAATGAAGCAGTTGATGGTAGGTGCTTGGCACAGCTTGCATCGTATGCAACCAAGCTCTGCCCATGAAGAGATTATACGGCGAAGGAAGCTTGACAACCAAAAAATCCGCATCCACTGATCTGGTGTCGGCCTGTACGGGTAGTGTGATTTTGCCCAGAGGGTACTCCGGGTTAGCATTGAAGCCGAATAATGGATAATCCGCCAGGGACAGGTCTGAGTCGGTAAAGCCAAGTTTGATAAAATTTTTGTAATACATTATTTCTGAAGTGCTACCCTGGTCAATGAGAACACGCTTAATGGCGAATTTGTTGACACATAGCTCAATGACAAGGGGATCAGTGTGGGGGAGGGTTATTCCAGCTAAATCACTATCATTGAAACTGATCCTTCCAGTGTCAAGGGGCCATTTTGCTGGCATCATAGGGCTATGTGGGCTTGACTGAAACTGGATTGTTTGTACCTTGGACGACATTGGTAGGTTGTATATCATATGAATTACACCTAAAAGGGGTGACTGCGGCCGTATGGCTGCTATATTTGTTGAATTATTCTTTCAGAGGTATTACGTAAGACGACCGTGTTGCACCAATTCTTCCAGGTGATCTTTCAATGAATAACAACTATTGGTGTCGTGACCATGGTGTTTATGATATTCGCACCGTTTATCTTGTCTTCGCGCATCGAAAGGTCCCATCATCTTGGGCAGCCACTTGAAGAAGGGAAGATGTTGTACTTTCGGCAGGATCTTACTGATCGGCTCTGCTAGCTCTGTATATTTCTTGCCTGAGTGCCTTGTGCACCTGTTATCCACTTGATAATGTTCATTAGCTCGATGTGAACAATGATCATGTGATCGGCGCGTATCACGCCTTTTATCTTGTTTAGGTTGGCTCCGCCGCTCTGGGCTTTTTGATGGCACGACGCTAATTGGCTGAACAATTCCTGACGTGGCCGCCTCAACGGTTTGACATCTGGCTTTAACCCGCAGGGCATCGTTTTCAACTTTGCAGTACTCTTCGACCTTTTTCATTAATGCCCAGACGATTTTGGGCGGCCGCCTGGTTAATGAACTGCGGAGGGGACTATTTGGATGCAATCCCATCTTAAAGGCGGTGATGGCCATAGAGTCATTGTAAGCATCATTTACCAGATTAAAGCACTCCCAATAACGGGCCCAGTATGTGCGAAGAGTATCTTCCGGTTTGATTTGCATAGCCCAGAGAGAGTCGGCTTGCTTCGGCTGGACCTCATTAATGATGAATCTCACCCTAAATGACTTTTGGAGTTGGTGGAAGTTCCGAATCGATGCCGACTCTAGTTTATAGTACCATTTCACGGCTAGTGGTCCCAGGCTACTTGGAAATATTCGACACATGAGGGCTTCGTCATCAGCATGGAGCGTCATCGCTTGCTTGTAATGACGAATGTGATCAGTGGGGTCCGACTTTCCGTCGTAAAGGGTGAACGATGGTGCCTTGAACTTTTTGGGAAGCGCAAGCCTTGCAATACAGTGCACGAAAGGGTCATGTTTATCTTCCTCATTCGAATCAGCGTTTCTCCCTTGTTTATTCCATACATGTGGACTTCCCTCAAATGAGCTGGATACATCGGCGCGTCCTTTCTTTCTGGGTTTAAGGGATGGTGTGTCTGAATAATTGTCATTATTGCATTTCTGAAGTCAACGTCGTCGATCATCCCTCTTTCCTGAAGGTCGAACTCGGTCTTGGCATGCAGCTTGTTGGGATTTCATCACCTCTAAGGCCAAATCCTGGCACAAGCATTCATTCTCAGCCATCATGTTCTCAAGCCACTGTTCATTTTGCTTTGCTTGATCTATAATTGCCTGCATTATCTCTTGCATTGAAGTCGAGGGTGAGGTTTGAGCTACTGAATCAAAGTTTAACGCACGTCGCGAGGCGATATTCTCCGGTCCCAGTGTGTTTCTTGGAGTGAGGTCGTCTCTTGACGTAGTTTCATCAGTGACTATCAGAGGATCTTCTGTGACGCTCGCCATGAATATGCTTGAGTATTCCCACGGACGGCGCCAATTGTGGAGAGGTAGATTTGGAAACACTCTTGTACCCTGATGAACGTTCTTGATCCTCTGATTGACACCTGAAAAAAGGGGATTAACACTCTGGTCGAGGGTGCCGGAATTTGCATTGCGATGGACAAGTTAGTATCTCTCTCAAGCTTGCTTATAACTTAAGTTTCTAAGATTTTTCTCACATACCTTTCTTTGGATGATGCTCCTTTATTTATACTTTTCTTTTGGGCCTCAGGGTCGGGCCCACCCTCAATCCATTACACGTTTATTTATTCGGCTTTTGTTTAACTGGTTCTTCGGCCGATTAGTCTATTCGGTTTTGCGATCGTCCAGGATGGAGCCGAATATAAATTTCATTCTTGACTGTCCTCATACCGTCATTTTGCTTTATTACACGTATACCAATAATATCTGGCACCCACAGGAACAGTCTCTATGGCTTTCGACATGCAACTAGGCCAATTGGTCAAAAATGGTACCTAAGCAAGACTACCTAATATACCTCTCACACCTAACACCAAGAAGTGAAAGGAGCATCAAGCAGTGCAATGATAGTCCAGATCCAAGGGTTGTGTTCCCATCGTGGTAGAGCCCACAACCAGTCAGCCTTTTGGCACGCTTTTCTAAGTAAGCCTCCAGCAAATCATTCAGTAATAGCAGATCGCAAACACTGTGACTTAAGTGCACCGATGCGAATGCAAATGCAAAGAAACACATAAGTGTAGATAAAAGTCATATCATGAGTTCGAGTCAGCAAGTTCTCTAAATCCACAGTAGAGTCGCCAGAAACTGTGGACTCGCCTTTTTCTCGCGCCCTGCCTTTTGGAAAGGGTTTGAAAAGAAGGCCTCACAGTTCGGACTCTCGTGGTTCTGAATCTAGTCTCACAAGTGCAATGTGAAACCGATAAATACCAAAGTGTCCAAATCCGGCAAACCTTTTTAGAAAATCGATTTTAAATCGAATAATGCCAACATTGGACTGCTTTGCCAAATACAGAGTCGCCACCTAAATATTTTACATTGGGGAAATTTAGGAAACCCTGACTCATGCCGAAGGCCACGTGTCCGTCATCACCAAAGTTACCTCAGCTTGGGAACTTAGGTACGAGAGGGGAAGGTCCTGAAATGAGCACCCAGACTCGCCCGATCAAAGATCGGCCTCTACTAATCATGATATGATGTTTTATACACATTATGTGTTCTTGTTCTTATTATTAGGCTAACTTTACTATGTGGCGCGCACAAGCAAGTATAGACTAGTTTGCCTGAATTGGAAAAACTTAACTCATGTTTGTTTGCTAAAATGGTTTGAATTTACCACCTCAAGTGGGCTTAAAGGTTGCGTATTTTCCACCAAATATAGTGGGCTTAAAACATGATTTACCACTCAACAAAGTTGGCTTAAAATGCGCATTTGATGAATCATTCCAATTCAAACAACAAGTCTTCATCCACAGGCATTCATGCAATTTAGCCTTTAAGCACATAGCCTCATGGCAAGCATGCTAATCATGGCAATATGGCAATCACACTCGTGTAAGTATGCTAAATCGAAAAACTTATCGAGTTCTCTGAGCCAAAACAAAAACTAGTTAGAAAGAAGCATGATCCTAACTATACAAGATGCCTAATGCAACGCATGCGATAATGCAATTAATAGGCTCGGCTACTTATATGGCATATGAATCGTTTTGAACATGCGATTTAATCACGTGTTCAAAGAAGTTATTGAAATAACAATGTGTAGGCACCCCATTTTTTACCGTCCTCGAGACTTAGACGTTGTCGTTTGAACACTCGATGATTTTGTATGCTCGTGTTCGTTTTGAGTGCCCGAAGATCTTGGCCTAGTGCCTCGTCTTTGAGCCTTCAAACCTTATTTGCTTTGTGCTTGGTTGTGGACCAAGAGCTTGTTGTTTCAAGTCTAGAGGAGAGGGTGGCCTGTTGGCTAGCCCCATAGCCTAACGGCCATGACTTGTGCCTGTCGGCCATCAGTGGTGGCCGATCGGCTACATTGATGGCCCGTCGGCCACCAATAGTGGCCGACGGCCATTTCTCTCCTTTTTCAGATATTTGTTTACCAGCTATTGTTCACTGAAGTGCATCTCCATACATGTGTATGGTAGGATGATTTCAAGCTTAAACCTTGGTTTTCTATATATAGGGGGTGCTCTCCCCCATTTGGAGGGGTTAGAAAATTTGGATCAAATTGCTCCCTCTCTCTCTAGAATTCTCTCTCTCTCTCTCTTCGTATTTTGTGCCTTAAAGTCTTGTTTCTCTACACCATTGCACATCAAGCCTTAACCGAACAGTCTTACCTTTGAACTGAGGTTCTTTGGAGTCTGGTTTGAGCTCTTAAAGGAGGTTTGAGCTAGAATTTGGGACTGTTTTGTGCTTGAGCTTCAAGAGGTAGTTCACTTGCTTAGAGTACTTACTTTGACTACTTATTTTGCCATCCTTTTGTATTGTTTTTGAGCTGGTTTTCAACTACAAAAAACTCTATTTTTTTAGGCTTAACATCATGGCTTGAGGCTATTTTGTGCTGAGGGGTGATCCACCCTTCTTGTTGTTTAATTGTGTAGACTTTTGCACCATCTTGTAGCATATTCAAACTAACTTTTTGGGCCTTTAAACCACTAAAATTTAGAGTTATTTTAGTGGCAAAAACCTTATTTTGAAGTCCAAAATTGGAGGGGGTAGCCTCCCCTCCTGGTGTCTTGTTTGTATGCCTAGATAGCTTAACATGTGAGCATTTTTTTCTAGCATTTTGTACCTTAATCTCAGCATGTTTTTGCTACTGTTTTGACTGGTTTCAGCTCTTTTTTGAGCTGGCTTGGTCCTTTGAGGCTTGTGTTGTCTGGTTATAGTGTAAAGAGGCTTCACTAACTTAATGTTTTAGGCTTTTAAACATGAATTGCATGAGTTGCATGCATGTTTTAGTGTCCTTTTGCACTCTATTTCAACACTGAAATCTCTACAATCTCCCTCTATTCTTCACTCTTGCATTTATTTTGAAAATGGGTTTGAACCCCTTGTTGGCTTGAGTGTGAAATGGAGACATTCATGCTTAATGGTTTGATTCCTTCGGGAGTTCATTACCAACGGCATGAGGTCTCTTTCATGTTTATGACACTTGTGGTTTAAGCCTACTTTCAATTAGAGGACACTTACCTTTTAGACTAATCAATTAAAGAATGGATTGGTAATCTAAAATGAGTAAATAAAATTTGACAAGTAAAAGTGTGCAAGATAAGCATTCTTTGTGTTGCATTGCATGTGTTCGGATCGGGCATTAATTCGAACACAAGAAAAATGGGACATTGCATACTCAAAGTGATGAAACGTGTCACTTTTCTTGGTCACCATCACCCTTGATCACGCATGATAGGGTTATGGTTTTGTTGAGTCTTGTTTTGCACTCATTAAGCTTGTACAAGCTTGGTTCCCTAGCCATCATGCATGGAAATGCTTGGTTGATAGTTTGAGAGCCAAGAGTTACTCTCCTTTGAGCTTGTGTGATGATAAGGAGAGCAACAGTACACAAACTCCTTGAGAATACAGTGCTTTGCCTATGTTTGCTCTCTGTTGCAGCAAAAAAAAGAAGTTCAGGGAAGGGGTGGCCGACCGGTCACCAGTAGTGGTTAACCGACCACCTGTATCAGCCGACCGGCCACCATTGGTAGCCGACCGGCCAGAAATAAAATTTTGCACAAGTGTGCTCCTAAGTTGGGGCAGAGGGGTTCTGGAAGTTGGCAACACTGTTAGTGTTCAAGAGTGAAAACAGAGCCTGCAAAGGCAAGGCGGTGGAATTTTTAGGAGGAGAATTCGAGCATGCATGCATCACTCGTCCCTCGTGGCCATTTAATTGCTTTATTAGTTAGTTATAGCTAATTCATTCATGTAAGTGTTGTAATTATTTAATTAATTAATTCGTATTGTAATTAATTAGTTTAATTCGATTTGTAATAATTAGTTAACTAGAGTAGTTAATTAGTTATTGCTTGTAATAGCTTAGCTTAATTAGTGTAGCTAGTTGCTTAGCTTATTCATTCGGACCCTCCTTCGCGAGGGTGTAATGTTGTAATAAGCATGCGTGCGTGTGTGCATGTCTTCCAACCCCACGTCTTTCTCCCCTTTATTTAATTGCTTTTGATGGTTAGATTAGGGATCATGTTTCACTTAGTATACCTTATGCTTGCATGATTGCATTCATTCATTTGTCTTGCATGCACCGAGGCTCGGCACATCATTCAAACTGCATTTTCATTTCAATGCTTCTTTGAATACGTGTTTCAAAGCATGCTATCAAAGTATTGCAAATGCCATATTAGTAGCCGAGCCTATAAATTGCAATATTG